AGAAAAATGGATAACGCGTGCAAACAAATTGGAAACTGATGTAATGAAGCTGTTAAATTTCCATTCTATGAAAAACAAAAGGTTTGGAATGAAACTGCCATCAAAATTAGATAGAGATTCAAATTTCTAGAAATAAAAATTATTTTAATTTTGAAATGATTATAAATTACATCCGACAATAACAGTAAGTGTTCGGTCAATGAATGTCTAATTTTTCTTGCATTAAAAAATACCAATTTCGCCATTGGTTTTATCATTATTATACTTTTATGTCTTTCTTTTTATGTCTTTCAGGACGAAGGCGTCCATGGCTCTCCACCTCCCTCTATCCCTTGTAGCTCTCAACAAGTTCCTTCCCTCTGCCACCTCCCCTAGACCACGTTCTGTCTTCCACTTACTTAACCCTGCCCCGTATGTCATACGTTGTTTTCCCTTGTCTCTCTTTCTCTCTATTCGACCCGTGAGTATCAGATTCTCCAGGTCTTCTTTCCTCATTATATGTCCCAGAAACTTCTGCTGCCTCTTCTTGGTGTTAAATATAAGCCTACGTCTTCTTTGCATCCTCTCTAAGACCTCATCGTTGCTCACATACTCGGTCTATGATATCCTTAGCATCCTTCTGTAGAACAACATCTACGTCGCTTCGAGTCTCTTCTTGATCTTTGAGGAAATCGTCCAACATTCGCTGCCGTAAAGAAGGACAGATGTCACGTCTCAGTATGGACCACATACACTTTTTAGCGGAGAAACCAGGATAACCAGGTAACTGTGAATTTACTGTCCGGGTCAGTTATGGTACAACAGCTGAAAACAAGATTTACCCTCCGACTTATATCTCTTAGTGCAAAGGGGACGTACTGCTGGAACGACGGATATCCAGCAACTAATTTTCTATTTATGTTCACTATTCACTGGTCATGAAAGAGCAGTGAGCTTTGTAGATATCAAATACGTGTGTATATTATCTTTTATGAGTCACTTGTTTGTATTTTCATGACTAGATTTTTTTTGTTTTACGGCTTATCAATCTCTTGTAGGTTATTCAAGTCAGAGACATATTTTTGAATTAAAGAATATTTTTTTGCGAGTGAATATTGTATTAATATAATAATCATTTTCAGATAAAGTCATACTATTTAACCCACATTTGGGGAGAAGATGAAGGCTCCTACGTAAGTAAATGAAATGGATCCGACTGGAATTCGAACTCGGCTCTCCAATATCGTGTTTTGAACCGTTATCCATTGCACTACCAGTTCTCTGCCTGGATGTTGGAAAAATGAAAGAAATTGACAAACATGTTTTCTGACAATCTAAAAATATTTTAGGGCTTTAAATAACCTGTTGATAAGCTATAAAAAATAAATCAATCAATAGAATAAAAATGTTTGCCATAGGTCCGGTTTATACTAGTAAACGGTAGATATGGGTTAAAGTTAAATTTTATGAATCATCATATTGCTTCCACAACAAGGCTCGAACCTGCGACCCTATTATACGTAGTGTAATATTAAAATAACGACCGAATTCTTTATGGAGCACAAAGAAGATATCTCTACACCGATTCGTATGCGCCAAAGAGTTTTATCTCTTTTTCCCGCCATAAACGATCTTGCCTTCCGATATTCCCATGCGTATTCAATTGTAATGATTATTCGCCATTATTGAATCCAAGCCGTTACGCTAGATTGATATAGCCGCAGAAGAAGTATCCACTGCAAAAATCGACATTATCAAAAGGAATTTGACAGACACTCCTTCACACGTCTGTAATTTAACTTCCGATTTTTTTTCTTATATCTAAATAGATAGGGTCATTTATGCGTCTTGATTCGTTCGCTGCAAAATGTCTCTTATTATACACTGGTTCTCTCTTTCGCGCCAGTTCCTCCGTCTTTGATGTCTTTATCACAAACACTTCGCTCATCGTACACGCTTTATTGCGCGCGAGCACTGTCCGTCTGCTTCATTGATAGTCGACATTTCAATCCTACCACCAGGTAATGTATATATATATATCCAACGAAGAAATAAATGGACATCATATAGAACTCAAACAGGAATTCTGAAATTCACCAAGAAAGACTATTAGATTGAGTTGTTTTTGTTTTTTTACGTCTTATCAACCTTTTACATGTCATTTAAAGGTAGATTTTTTTTTTTATATTTTAAGATTTCTCCCTATTTACATTATTCGGACTATTATCCTCATCTTTGTCACCATATTTATTACAACGTTTCGATCGTTTTACGCTCCGGCTTTCTTCAGGTGGTTGGAATGTCGAACTGAACCCTTTATTTCGCTCACTGCAGTAGACTGTTCTAGTTCCACGTGCCATGTTTAATGGAAGTCAAAGATGAGGACAATAGTCCGAATAATGTAAATAGTGTACATAATACCTCATCAAAGAAATATAGACAGATACTGTATGATTTATTTTATATAATAACGATTTACTAATGCAAGTTATACTAATTAGCTGGAGAAAGAACAGATGGATTCATACCATCCCTGAGGACATTTGAATGTAAATACTTTTTTGATACAAGTTTTACTATTTAACCTATGAATGTGCAATATGATAGGTACTGATCTGGTATCTAGTCTGCAGTCGCTTTCTCACAGACGGGCCGTGACTACCCTCTGTCGCTTCTACAAGTATTTTTCACGACAACTGTTCCGACGAACAACTTTCGCAGGTTACCAGACTGCATAAAATTAAGGGATCGACTAGGCTGGCATCTCAGTCCCACCCTTTCAGTGTCAAAACGGTTAAATGTAATCGTCTCTTCTACTCAAACAGCTTCTTCTCCTGCACTTCCCACCCGAAGAACTCTCTTCCCCTTGCTTGCTTCCCTGATAACTATAATCTTCAAATATTCAAGTGTAATGTCAATCGACATCTGGCACCCTGAACTTGTTCCTCGTCCTTCTCTGTATCCTTTCCTCAAACATGCCTCTTTACTCTTGTTCTCAATGCTCTGTAACCCCTTGCGTGTTAGTGGCACTCCCGCCTTGTTTAGGGTGAATTGCTTTTAAAAAAAAATCTGCTGGGAGAAGAGGTGGATACAGAAATTTTCTAAATGACTATAACTAACCCGACTGGAATTGGAACTAGGCTCTCCGATTTCCAATTGCGAGGCTGTATTCATTACTTCCCCCGCAGATCGAGTCTTTCATCACCTGGTATTCTCAAGTGGTCACCCATCGTAGGTACCCACCAGGAAAAAAACGTTGCTTAACTTCGGTGAGCCTACGAGAACCAGTTATCTGACCGTAAGTCCCGAGAAAGAACACCAGAAAAAAGGATTAAACGATTGCGAACACACTTCCATTTCTTAAATGCCAAGTTCTTTCAGAATAATGGCGATTATGGCCCTCCACACATGCCTTTTTGTTTAGTAACAAATATTTCGTTGAGAAAGATGAAGAGTATACGATATTTTTTGGTTTTTTTTACGGTTATAAATTCAATGTAGTGTTTTTCCTCGATTGGCTAAACAATGCTAGATGGCCCAGTTTACATTGGGATTTCGCCTGTAGTCGGGAAGCTCAAAAGGTTACCGATTATGGTAGCGTCTAAAAAAACAGTATATCGGTTGTAACACGAGGGAAATGGTAATATTAAGAATAATCAGTAATATTCCAAAATTGGGAAATTGAAGAGAAACTAAATTAAATACTATAATAAAAGAAAAGAAGAAAATTGGTTTGGGTGTGCCAATGAATATTAATAAAAATGATCGTCACAGATATTTGATGCTAAAAAACGAGAAATTTTAGAAACTGAAACGTAGCCAACTCCAGAAACATCGTAAATTAAACTACCACGACACAGTTCCAAATAGAAAGGCATATAACAATGATAATTCATCATCTTAAAAACTCCAATCAATAGGAAATAGTAGATACTCTTCCTTCTTCTATATGTCGTATCCCTTCCGAACATAAGCGATCACTCCTCTCCACAACTTCTAATCCATTATAGCTTTATCAATGTTTGTATTTTCACTATCCCTAAGATACCCTGTTCTTCCACCCGTTTATACAATTTCGTTAGGCTCATTATTTGCTAGTCTTCATGTCTTCAGTACGTCTTGTGTGTGTCCAATTTTCCAAGCCTTCTTTCCTCATTATGGGCTGCAGAAATTTTAACTGTCTAAAGACAATCAATAATGAAGAAACACGTTCGAAAGTATCAAGGTATAATTTAAACAACCAATAACAGAGGAAAAACGACCGTTCGATTCCTCGAGCTAAATTTGGGATTGCTAGATTTGTTTTTTACAGTTTATCAACCTTTTTCAGATTATTTAAAGCTAAAAGACATTTTTAGATTGTAAGAATTTTCTGGAAATAATAATCATTTCATGGTACAAGTGCGATTAATAATCCATGACTACTGGGAAAGAGGGTAGATTTATACCTTTTTCCGAGGGTATTTGTGCGGAAATGAATATGATGAACCCGACTGAAATTGGAACACTACGCCCTGATTTCTATTTCCAAATCGTTATCCATTCCACTGCCCACATACCCAAGCTTACAAAACCTGATATTACCAAGTGGTCACCCATTTGATTACTGACCAGGCACGATATTGCTTCGATGATCGATGATCGTACGAGAACAAGTGTTTCAACTTGGTATAACCTTTCAGTCCCTAAATGTGTAAAAAAAAAAAAAAAAAATACATGTGACATCTAATCAGGTATAAAAAATAAGTTACTCTTTCTTTTTTTATTTCTTTTTTTAAGCAGCCCAGATTGATTCATTTACTTAATATTCAGGTAAGTAATGTTTCACCGCCTTTATTTCTGTTCCTTTTTTTTTTTTACTTTTATGCATAAGTTCAAAAAAATCGTGGGCATTAGTTTTTATTCAAGAGATAATCCGATTGAATGAGTTCAAGAAATATGTCTTGTCATGCGTATCATTCCTCACGACTTTAATGTAGACTCGAGATAAACAAAACAGCGCACGTCAGCTGGAGCCTTACCAAAGGCTATAGAAGCAATGGTGAACCATGAAATCCTCCTGGGCAGGTTCCGCAGCGCAAAGACATCACAACACCGCCGAGAAGACCACATCGACTGAATGCTGCTTTGCAATGGAGGACTAAAAACAAGAAAAAATTTACACCGTGAGAGGCACAGTGGAGTCATGGATAGCGACTTGGATTGAGGAATCGGAGAGCCGAGTTCAAATTCCAGTCAAATCCATTACATTCACTTACGTGCTAATCCTTTTCTTCTCTCTCCAGCTATGGGTAAATAGCAGGACAGATTGGGTTCTATAGCCTTGGATGGCAACCGGTCTAGGAGAAGGAAAACTCTGAATTCAAAACCTGCGGAGGGTCGTTTGGTGAACCTGTGGCACTTAGTGCACCAGGTCTCTGTATTCGGCCTTGCAAAAAGTGTGACTGGTCTTGCACGAAACCTTCACCACTATAATCAAATCTCATGTGCTGTTGTCGGTTTCCTAGGAACTGATCTGCTTGACCCTCATACGTCGAATTCAACGGGAGAGTCGCGTATATATATATTTTTAATATGCTTCCATCGCTACACAGGAATTACCATGTTTCAAAAACAGAAGCTAAAAACTTCCAATTCACTTATAGAAATTAAAGTACCTAGTTCTGTTTCATTTTCAAGCGAATTTTGGAATAAATTCATTTTGAATAATTTATTTTGAAATTTCCGTAAATTTCAAAATAAGTTTTTGAAACATGCTAATTCCTGTGTAGCGATGGAATCATATTTTTTTAAAGAATAATTATAATCTAGGTCCTACTTGTCTAAAAATAAAAACAAAAATACTATAAAACTTCGGATCATCAATCTAACGGTTCTTTCCTATTTTATAAACATATTCGCGCGCACACACACACACACACATACACACACACACATATATATATATATATATTTATATATACATTTACATTACCTCTTCTTGAAACTATAAATATATATATATATATATATATATATATATATATATATATATATATATATAAAGAGTTTCAAGAAGAGGTATTGTAAAAAGCATTGAAAACAGCAATAAACAGAAATCCAGAAGTGCATTGAAACATCAAAAGATAGCTTGCAAAATGACAAACAAACTATTTACATATGTTAAATATAATATAGTTGAAATAAAATTCATAAATGAATTGTTTTTGACGGTTGGGTAAGGGGAGGGGTAATAATTTATAAAATTTATTGTTAAATCTCTGCAATTTAAAGAAACTTACAGCAAAATAGGATCTTTGCGGAAATTCACATGATTTCTATAAAAAAAAAAATATGCGATTTCTTTCTTCAGTAACATTTTGCACACCATATTCTTTAAGGATCATCAACGTTCATGTTGCTTTACAACTTGCTGCTTACTTGATATAAGTAATTTTGACACTTTATCATTACTTTTTGTCTTTCTACTACTATCTAGAAATCAGCGATCGACTTACTTAATAAGTCGATCGCTGATTTCCGTCGCCTGTGAGTGTTAACGTCTCCAGGCATTCTTTTCTCGTGGTGCGTCTTAGAAATTTAATCCACCGCTTTTAATTGAAAGTATAAGCTGCTATTGTTATAATTTTTTTTTTTTTGTTACTCCTATTTTTCTTAAGGTCCCCTTTGCTGCTCTGTTTATTTGGTGGGGTAAAACTACATACTTGTCGCTTTAATGCTTACAGGCCAAACACCGGTTACCAATATGATGACCGAAGTTAAGCAACATCAAGTTTGATCAGTACTTGAATTGGTGACCGCTTGGGAATACCAGGTGCTGTAAACTTGGATGTATGTGTCGTGTAATAGATAATGGCTTGCAATTGTTAATCAGAGAGCCGAGTTACAATTCCATTTCGGTTTGTTATATTCACTTACGCATAAATTTCTCTTGGGTTAAGGTATGAATCCACCTCTTCTTCCCCCAGCTATAGGTTAATTAGTAAGACCCTTATCACTAAACCATTATTATCTATAAAAATAAAATAAAATTGCGTTCAAAAATATTTATATTTCGGCATTAAATAACCCATAGAGATGTTGATATGCCATTAAACAAAAACAACCAAGCAACCTGTCGCTTTAAGTCTATTCTTCATTCGAGTTAGAATTCTAGTCTACTTCGTTAGATTCACGTATGCACAAATACCCTTGGGAAACGTATGAATCATCTCTTCTTCCCCAGGTAGGGTGTTAAATAGCAGGATAGACTGGATTCTTTAGCCTCGGTTGGCAACAACTCTATGCAGAAAGAAATGGCAACCTACTGCGGGCAAATCTTCTGACACCTCAGTCATATATCGAAAGACATCTGATCGCCCAAACATGTATCCCGTGTGGCATTTAACTGACTTCATATGTTAGTGTAATACTGTAGCTAACGAATTTTTCCTTTTCTTTCACCGAATGAATTCGAATCTTCGTCGCCACTTGTTATGTTCCGGTTCCTTGTACCACGGTGATAGTCCAAGGTAGAACCAATAAAGATGAACTAGAACACGGGTATGGAATAACACAGATATATTACAAAAAGGAATATATACAGAGAAGTAGAAGTGTTAGTATGAACAATCAGGTTTAGTAGAGAGAACAATGTAGTCTCGACCAGTATCACTATTCCAATGTCTTGCAGTAATTGTCTGAACGCGACTCTGTTTCAGACTGCCTCTGACTCGACTCTTGACTCGACTTGAACTGCTGACTCGAACTACTGACTAACGATATTCAGTCACCCCCTCCCGAGGGCGTCACGTGGCACAAGGCCTTTTTAAAGTGGGACTCTGAGCTCGTGGGCTCGGCCAAAAATATGCCCATTGAACCCATATAAACGGGTTCAGGGTCGGTTTACCTCCCCGAAAGAGACTCCGCCCGAAGGGAGAGAGTTCAACCGAATAGCCGGTTCAGATGTGAACTACGGACTGACGATATTCAGTCACCACCCCCACGAGGGTGTCATGTGGCACAAGGCCTTTTTAACGTGGGCATTTCCGAGCCATTAGGCTCGGCCAAAAAATAGTCCATTTGAACCCGTATAAACGGGTTCTGGGCCGGTTTTTACCTCCCGAAGGAGACTCCGCCCTTCGGCGTAGCCTCCTTCGGGTTCCTCCCGCCCGTAGGAAGAGAGTTGAACCGAACAGTCTGTAGTGAACTACTGACTAACGATATTCAGTCACCCCACCACGAGGGTGTCATGTGGCACAAGGCCTTTTTAACGTGGGCATTCCCGAGCCATTAGGCTCGGCCAAAAAATAGTCCATTTGAACCCGTATAGACGGGTTCAGGGCCGGTTTTACCTCCTCGAAAGAGACTCCGCCCTTCGGCGTAGCCTCCTTCGGGTTCCTCCCGCCCGTAGGAAGAGAGTTGAACCGAACAGTCTGTAGTGAACTACTGACTAACAATATTCAGTCACCCCCCACCAGGGTGTCATGTGGCACAAGGCCTTTTTAACGTGGGCATTCCCGAGCCATTAGGCTCGGCCAAAAAATAGTCCATTTGAACCCGTATAGACGGGTTCAGGGCCGGTTTTTACCTCCTCGAAGGAGACTCCACCCTTCGGCGTAGCCTCCTTCAGGTTCCTCCTGCCCGTAGGGAAGAGAGTTGAACCGAACAGTCTGTAGTGAACTACTGACTAACAATATTCAGTCACCCCCACCAGGGTGTCATGTGGCACAAGGCCTTTTTAACGTGGGCATTCCCGAGCCATTAGGCTCGGCCAAAAAAAATAGTCCATTTGAACCCGTATAGACGGGTTCAGGGCCGGTTTTACCTCCACGAAAGAGACTCCGCCCTTTGGCGTAGCCTCCTTCAGGTTCCTCCCGCTCGTAGGAAGAGAGTTGAACCGAACAGTCTGTAGTGAACTACTGACTAACGATATTCAGTCACCCCCAGGGTGTCGAGGGCCTGTTTATGTGGCATTCAAGCCTTTTTAATGTGGGCATTCCATTTGAACCCGCCATTAGAAGGAGACTCCGCCCTTCGGCGTAGCCTCCTTCGGGTTCCTCCCCGCCTGTAGGAAGAGAGAGTTGAACCGAACAGTTGAAATTACCGTATAAACGGGTTTTTAGGGGGTGAGTGCTATTTGAACCCGAATAAGGAGAAGGAGACTCCGCCCTTCAGCGTAGCCTCCTTCGGGTTCCTCCCGCCCGTAGGAAGAGAGTTGAACCGAACAGTCTGTAGTGAATTACTGACTAACTCCTTGCCTACTCCTGAGGCGCAGTATTTATTAAGTATGGAATTGTCCATTATTATTTTTATGGGTAAGATCCCATAACAGTTAGAAAACATTCTAGTATTCTCTGATGTATGGGAGTTTTATTTTATTTTTTTTTTTTGTTTTGTTTTGTTTTTTTTGTTTTTTTGCTATTATATTATTTGTCATTTTATTTTTGTTTTTATTTGTTTTGTTTGTTATTTTATTTCTTTGTTTCTACGACCTTTTCCTATATGTTAATACTTGGCTTTGTTTCTAGAAGGTTTCTTCCAACATTTCTATACATAAAATTTTATCATATTGTAGAAACCAGTATCCTTCAAATATCTTTGAAGCAAATGCGTCCGCTGAATGAGAAATGAACTGAAATAAATACCGATTTTGCTACGTCGAGCGTGGGAGAAGGGTTTACCCTAAATATTTTCAACACACATTTGTCTATCTTGATGAAATTGTCAACTCCGTAGCTGACAGAATCCCCACGACACTTACTGCACCGATCAATTAATAACAGTAGATATCTGGCACAGAAACTTTGAATCTGTAGTGGAAAATATCTACAAGCAAGGCAGGAAAAGTGCATCAAAATCAGATGCAAGACAAATGAAATAGAACGCAGAAATTATTTTTGGTTGCAAATATTTAGGGCTACAAATATGGCTGCGATGCAAAGTACCAGAATCAATATAAAAATTAATAAAAATAAACACAAGAAAATATAAAGAGAAAATAAGTAACATTTCAGAAAGGAAGCCATACCGTCAAAAGCAGTTGAAATACTTAAATAATTTAATAGAAAATTTCCCTCTACGTATATTTTTTTAATTTGGAGTCCATTTAATTATTTAAAAAAGGAATCCATTTACGCTTTATAACTCATTCCTTACAGAGAGTAATACTGGTTCTTCTTTTTCAGTTCAGTTTCCTCATCTTACAAGTCTTTAACTCAACGTTTTGTGGATTTTTTTGTTTTGTTCTTTTTTTACCAAATTCCAGAAAAGGTCATCTAAATCTTTGAAATCCGTGGATTCAATTTCTGTGTGGGATAGTCCAAAAATATTCACATCTGGTGGAAAAAAACCCATTGATAGTACGTGAAATAATTCTTGGATAGGTAGTGTGACATTCACTTAGATAAAAAAAAAATATATGTGATAAGTAAATGAATGAAAATAACATGGGAAGTGATCTAGTCGATAAAATGTGACGCCGATATACGATGGTGCATTAGAATAAGAGAAGGTGACACCTAGAAAGCTAAGCAAATTATTAGAAAAAATGAAAATTTCCTAAGAAACCAAGAAAAGAAGTTGCTACGTAATAACTGTTCTTCTGTATGGTAGAGAAAGCGTCATAATTTCCTAACCGACGAAGAGGACACACACATATATATATATATATATATATATATATATATATATATATATATATATATACTATTTACATTATTCGGACTATTATCCTCATCTTTGTCGCCATATTTATTACAACGTTTCGGCCGTTGTACGCTCCGGCCTTCTTCAGCTGGTTGGAATGTCGAACAGAACCCTTTATTTCGCTCACTGGGGTAGACTGTTCTAGTTCCACGTGCCATGTCCTCAAGGACACATGGCACAGTGGATAAAAGCGTTGGTTAGTGACAGGATCTACAGAGTGTGAGTTCAATACCCGGTTAAGGCAATGGAGTCCTGTCAATGGATCTAACCAACGCCTTTATTCACTGTTTTTTTTTGTGGGGGGTATTTAAGCGTTTCACCCCAAGCAAGGCGGGAAGTCACTAGGTCGCAAGTGGTTACAGAAGATTTGGAGGGAGAGCAGATAGGAATAGAAAGATAGATAGAGGAAAGGATGAGGAGAAGGATAGTGGATCGATCAAGGCAACTGGAGATGTCGATTGACATTTGAATAATTGGAGATTATAGCTCTCAGGGAAACTGGAATAGGGAAGGGAGTTCCACAGGCAAGAGGTGCGAGATATGAAGCTATTGGAGTAGAAGAGACGGCTACATTTAATAGTTTCGACAGTGAAAGGGTAAGAGCCGGATGCCAGCCTCGTAGGGCGCTTGAATTCATGAAGTCTGGGAACCCTGTGTCCTTATATATATATAAGAAAGAATGAATAATATAAAACATTTTTTATTATTTTATTCGGGTGGAAGCATTTTTAAGGTCAGTTTCAGAATCTTCAGAAGCGATATTGTTGTGGCACCATGCATACCTGACGAGCTGAAAAGAAATATTCATAGATATATGATTTGTTTTTTACGGTTTTTCAACCGTTTAATAATTATTTAGGGCCGAAAAATATTTTGGGTTTTAAGAATAATTCTTTCTTTAATTCTTTACATTCAAGCGATCTGGAAGAAGGAAAGAGAAAACGAAGAAGAAAGAAAGAAAAAATAATACGAAACAGGTCATAGGCGAGCACACACACGCCCGGCTGACAGATAACAGGTGTCGAAAAATAATCAGGTCAAGCATCTGACCGAGATCCGCGGAAAATGGAAGTTATTATCAATTGGTTGTCACCCAAGGGAAAAGAAAGAAAAGAAGAAACGAAGTTTAGGGACAATGAAAATATTGATAAGTAACAAGTGGAAAGTGTGTCATTGGAATGATAGTAAAGGTCTAAGTGGGTGGGTATCTAAGGATATGAAGGCAAACCATTAATACGAAAACATAGACAGTCTCCAGAATTAGAAAAAGCCACACAAGATGATGTTGCTGAAAAAATCTTTTTTGAGATAATAATTCAAGCGGAGGAAAACGAAATATTTTTCAACGCCAACGGGTCTGAGAAATTCCTTTCTTAGATCATATCCAATTAGCGATAAACTGCTTGACAAATACCACGTGTTAAAAAGCCGAAGGTGCCATCTCAGTCGCTCATGATAAGGGCGATTTAAATTAATATTTTTGTTTTTAAGCAAGGTGTTCTTTTTCCCAAAACAAAGCCACGGATTGTCCACGCCCGACTAAAAGACGTCATTGGCTAAATAATATCACATGACACACGAAGGAGGAGGAAAGATACCCGACCAGGACCTCATTGGCCGAGAGCGGTCACGTGACGCACGAGGAGAGTCGGTCGACGCCCCTGTCAGAAGTGTAAGTGTAAGGAGCCGATACGAAGAAGCGGGGAAGAGGGTATACGCTCCTCACAGGCACAGTAAGGAAGTGGGAGTGAGAGTGAGTTACCGAAAATGGAAAATCCCTAACCAGAAATAAGAAGGGTGGATACGTATTTAGAATTATCGAAGAAACCCCTGGCGCCGACAGACCCACCCCAGTTTTGACTGCGTCAATAAAAGCGAGACCCCAACCGACAGAAATCAGAGTTTGAGCCGCGGACGGCGGGCCAGGTTCGTTCGCCCCCTTTGCGGGCAGGAGAGGCCAGTTCGTTTGGCCTAAGAGAAGAAGTTCGTCCGACCCAAGCCGAAGTGAAGAAGTTCGTTCGACCCAAGCCGAAGAGAAAAAGTTAGTTCGCGCACCGACGGCGGAGATGAGTGACCAGTAATTCAGACTCTGAAGAGAAGAAGTTAATTCGCGCACCGACGGCGGAGATGAGTGACCAGTAATTCAGACTCTGAAGAGAAGAAGAGAGTTCAGCCGCGCACGGTAAAAGAGTTCAGCCGTGGACGACAAGCAGAGATGAGCGCCCAGTGTTGAAACCGCGTCAAGATAGCTGACCAAGATTCACGCACACTTCTGGACTCTTCTTCAACCAAGAACAAGTAGTTTGAAGAGCGACTTAGAATCAGACCACAGAAATAAGTTTTTTTCGACTTTCGTCCAAAGACACACCGAAACACAAATTTCTTAGAGAGCAGACAACTTGAAGCCTTAAAGTTGCCTAGTAAAAGCGTCGTGCCACAATCCACAGAACGGCTCGGGAAGTAGACATAGTCCTATGTACTGAGCAAATAGACATAAAAAGTTTGTTACCTTTTTCTTTGATACGTTGGACCTTGTGAGTTTTTATTTTCTTTTCTTTTATACATAATTGTGTGTTATCACCCCCGTTAGACTCAACTTGCATTACGGCCCCAACCCCTGTTTCATCTCGTCTGTCTAAGATCAATTCACAACGTGGGTAGGCAGACTGGAGATCAGTGCAGTTACCCTGGTAACCAGGCGTTGGAAGCGGGTTGGGAACGGCGAGGCTGGTATCAATCTAACCAAAGGGTTAGAACGTCACGTTTGGAGCAGCGAGGAGCGAACAGCTGACGCCGCGGCAAAGACGTCACAGTTGGTGCTGTCCGTGACCAGGATATCAGAGCCTGGGGAGCACGTGACGTCACAATTGGCGCCGCGACCGGGATCGAATGACACGGTCGACGCTGCGACCGGGGGACCACGTCACATTGTGGCGATGCCTAGTTGAACAGATCGAAGACAGGTAGGAGCTGCTGGATCCTCAGAGACACTCTACCGTACGGCTTTCATCGCTGCGTCAGAGCTGACAGTGCACTTAGGACCTCTTCCTGAATGGTCGCCGACTGATCCAGTTCCTTCAAACCGGGCGATTAATTTCCGAATCATGTTATCGCAAGAAGATACCCGGACATTAAAGTGTTGCCGGTAATTTTCTCTGAATCTGAAAAATTGACCTTTCATTAGAATAGAAAAATTCAATAAGTTTTACTCGTTGCTGGACATCAAAAATAGCCATTTGTTTTATCTCCAAGTGATGTCCTATAGTCTGCAAAAAAAAAAAAAGAAAAAAGGATTGAAAAAGAACATGTTATGACTTTTTTTTTTCTTCAGTTTTTAGTGCCCCCTATATATATATATATATATATATATATATATATATATATATATATATATATATATATATATGATATGTCCCGGAAAGGATATATAATGAACGAAGTAGCTAAGTGGTTTTGTCTACTATAACCACGTAGAATACGGTAGCAGTAATCGACTGGTACGCGACGTAGTCGTAGGTAAGAAGTGTAGATCAATGGCGTAGTCCAATGGGCGTCGTTATAGACTTAGCTCTCAGACTAAGTCTCTTGACTCTCCTACACGTCCGTCGGTATTTATGACGGACACCAGCCAATCATATTCCAGTGAGAGGGAACACAGGTGTACGCATATTCCATTATATATATATATATATATATATATATATATATATATATATATATATATATATATTCTTCTCAAATCACATTGTTGTACACAACTCATCATTAGGTAAGCATTCCTGATTAAATACCATTCTTCCGCTATCAATCTCACAATATCAGAGGAACTGACGTGTTAAAGGTTTTCTAAAAACAGAAGTGATGCCCAGGTCAGCCAGACGCGAATAGCACGCAACCACGAAAAAAAATCCACCCCCGCACATAATCTACACAGCAAAATTATTATGTAGAATTCATCCCACAGAAATCCACCATCCAAAAACAACATCCTTGATAATGCCTATAGAACTAGCCGAAAGTTCTCGGAACAATTATGATTAGGGACAATTTCTATATTTTTTTTATCCCTGAAAAATGCTGAAAAAACTCAATAAGAGATTAATTAAATCCAAATACTCATTATATATATATATATATATATATATATATATATATATATATATATATATATATAAAGAAAGGACAGTATGATATATAATCTGTTGTCCTTATAGATATTTTTATTTTTACAAAATAGTGCTCAATGTAAATTTACAGAGCATTAATATTATAAATTAACTGATTTGAAATATGTTTTTTTTTGCTACACAGTTCTAACCATGTTTCAAAAATGGAAGCTAAAAGCCCCGAATTTAATTTTGCAATTAAATTAAAGACATTAGTTTCATTTCATCCTCAAGCGAATTTAGGAGTAACTTTTAAAATTACTGGGTTTTAAAGGCACAGCAAAAATTCATAATTCACGTTTCCAAGGATACAGAGAAATCCATTCATCCAGACAAGGGGTGTTTGCGTGTTCATTATCGCTGTATTTTGATGTATCGGTTGTTAGTTACGTTTTGGTAGGGGTAGGGATGTATTTTTCAATGAATTCTGACATCCGTTAAATGTATGTCGTCTGGATTTTTTTTAAATTTTATTGTTAACGGCAAAAATTCTTACGGCATTTTTTTCCTATTTGTATATTTAAAGGTTTTTGCGGGGTGTCTTATATATATATATATATATATATATATATATATATACATGATATAACGATATATAATTTTGTATAATTTTATATATCAACAAACATTATTTATAAAAATAGTGTGACAGATTGAAAGAAATTATAATAACGCGTTTCATCCGTTCCAGTCGAATTCATTACATTCACTTACGTGCTAATATTTTGGGAAAGGTATGAATCCGCTTCTTCTTCACCCACCCCCAGCTATGGGTAAATAGCATGACAGAGCGGGTTCTGTAGCCTTAGATAACAACTGGTCTACCGCAGAAAGAAATGGCAACCTACTGCCTGAAAAAAAAATCTACCTCGTCAGTCATGTATCGAAAGATACATGATCGCCTAAGAATTGCACACAAGTGACTTACAAGGCTCAGGAGACACTCAAGGTAGAGGGTTACAGTGTGGAAATATATTAACGTAGGAAAGAAGTGTTGACAGTATAGAGCTGAAGTAGACTTTAGAAGGGACCGGAAACTCCATCCTAAACAAGGAACAATGGATAAAATTCTACTCCCGTTTAAAAGACAAGGGAGGATTGTGAACCTGACGATAGGCGAACCTATCTATTCTTATTTGAACCTATAAACTCCTTGAATTGCTGTTTTCCTTCCTCACTTTCTGATCAACAAAACCTTAAGCAATTTCGATGCAGATGCTTCGTTATGATTCGTATATTACAGACTGGTGACGCCCACCTCGTCTCAATTGCCAGAAAAAAAAAACAACTTAATGCGATATGCTGCAGTCACCGTTAAAGACACAGTGTGTGTGTGTGTGTCTGTGTGTGTGCGTGTCTGTGGGTTACAGCTTTTCTCCAATTAATCTGACTTGTTGTTCTTGTTATGTGAGTTGAAACAACAATGTGTTTTCGGATAAAATGGAAGTGCTGTTAAAATAGCGCTGAGTGCAATCAATTCGAAAAATATGTGTTGAATCGTAAATCACATTGAGACATAGACATATGAAAATATGTCCACATAGATAGATAGATAGATAGATAGATAGATAGATGGATGACTAAATAAGAAAGGAAAGGAAAAGAATGTACTGAGATAGAAACATAATCGAGGTAAACAATACACATTATTTTGTCTATGCATATATTTCTAGTACGGTACTGTAACGGTTAGCGACTAGCAACGAGAAATTGACAAGCCGTGTTCGAATTCTAGTTGAGCTTTTTACATTCACTTTCGCGCAGATACCCTTGGGAAATAAATTATTCTATCTCTTTCCGTATCCAGTTGTAGGGCAGATTGGTGTTTTCGGCATTGATTGACAACCAGACTAGAATGAGGATTCTGAATTGAAATCCGTTTGGTATGGGATTACTAAATCCATACAAGGAGAAACATATTATTTTGGAATCCTGAGCAGCAACGCCTAATGTTCTGAGGCTGCGGCCTAATATACCACAGTTGAAATTTACGGGACGTGAAAGGGATATTACTAAATTGAAGATATAAATTATTATAAAAATGTTTATACATTCTTCAGAATTTCTACCTAAATCCATAACCCTGTGGTTTGTATTTTAAATCAAATATAAATCGAATATATAGATTTACGCAGATAGATAGATAGATAGATAGATAGATAGATAGATAGATAGAAGCAACTGAAATTGTTGTTTACAACGTCGATCTCAAGAATACTGTATTTATTAAAAAAGAAAATAAATTACTTAGATGAAAGGTTCTTGAAAGTGCATCTATTGAGTCTTGCTAAAATGATGCCTTACCCTCTGGAGTTTTTCAAATATCTTCTTTCTTAAAGGAAATACTTATTTCTCAAGCCAACATGCATGACCATAAAAAAATTCAAAATTAATGGAAAACTGTTAACTTAAAACTTATAGAAAATTTTAAATAAATAATCGCATAAATAATTAAACAAAATAAAATGCATAGAAATAAATAATAATTGAAATAAAAAAATGTATAAATATATAAAAATCCAATGACAACATTTACTTATTTTCGCCTATTAGACAATCAACGTCCTTAATATTTTACCTTGCCTCATGCAGCAAATTTTAAGAAAATTTACGAGCGTTCTCAACTCCCAAATTTCAAAAGGTGACGATAACTTCTTCCAGGATAATCGAAGTTACAAAATAAAATCTTCACATTTACTTTGAGTCAATTGCCTCGTTCACCGCAAGAAAAGTTGGCTCCCTGAGCCGCGCCAGGGAGTTTTTCTCCCCGGAATCGATCCTCCAGATCTACAAAGCCACAATTCGCCCTTGCATGGAGTATTGCTGCCATATATGGCCTGGTGCCCCTTCTGTTTGCCTCGGGGTTCTTGATAGGCTCCAGATCCTGGCATCTCATCTACAGTCACTTTCTCACAGACGCGCCGTCGCCTCCCTCTGTCTGTTCTACAAATACTTTCATTGAAATTGCTCCGAGGAGCTGCATTCACTGGTTCCCAGACATCATGAGTTCCAGCGCCTTACGAGGCTGGCATCCCGCTCTCACCCCTTCACTGTCGAAACTATTAAATGTAGCCGTCTCTTCTACTCCAACAGCTTCATGTCTCGCACCTCTCGCCTGTGGATCTCCCTTCCCTTTTCCTGTTTCCCTGTGAGCTATAATCTCCAGCTATTCAATTGTAATATCAATCGACATCTCCAGTTGCCTTGATCTACCACTACCCTCATCCTTTCCTCTATCACTCCTATCTGATCTTGCTCTAAACTTTCTGTAACCCCTTGCGTCCTAGTGGCTTCCCGCTTTGCTTGGGGTGAAATGCTTAAAAAAAAGAAAAAAAAAGTTACTCAAATGACGAAACGCATTTCTTGAAAAATATTTATTTTTTTATCTTACATATCTGGTATAGATGGCCATACGTATTCGAAGATACCCACCTACTAGGGAAGCTAGTGAATCCTTATTGCAGACGCTTACTCAAGCGCATTTGTGTTTATTCAACACCCACACAGCCCACCCGTGGTTTATACTGCAACTATGCTGAGCAGATCTTAGTTAATGTTTCTGGGAAAAGGCGTGTTATCTGGCGTAATCAACAATTTAAACAAGGGCAGCACGCTTAAGCCTTCGGCCACGCTGACTTGTGACTTCGTGCTAACACAGCTATCGAGGATCCCCAAGTGTTCCGTCTACCTAATTTCACTCACAAAGTTTGGGTCAATGTTGATAAGAAAGTTAATGAGAAAGCTCAATCAGGAAGTTTATGTACTCTGAAATATTTGATCAAAATCACAACACACTTTTCACATTCACTTTATCTATTGATTTACTGGTCACCTCGAGGTGGTGTAATGGTTAGTAAGCTTGTCTCGCTAGAACAATTACGACTGAGTAGTGAGTTCGATCCTCACTGGGTGCCCCTTACTTTCGGCCTTGTGCTACATCCAAGCTACGCTTGGAAAGTCACTATCTATTGATTTACTGTTGCAGAATAGAATAATTGCGGCACAAGGCCAAAAACGGGGGGAAGTGTGGTTAGGCTGGTCATCATTAATTATCTTATACCTAGCGAATCATATTCACGACCCATCCATTCATTACAATTACCTCATTCACCACAAGACGTCATCCTTCACCCTTCATTGCTACTTATACCACAATGCCGCTTATTCACAGGGAACCTACAAAGAAACCCCCATGACGCTATTAATCCTGACCCCCGTGAACTTTTCGTACCGTTCAAGCGCCTTCTGTACCACATCAAGGGTAACATTTACTTATTCTTTTCAATTTTCATCGTTCATTTTCTGTATTTGTAGTGAGCCTTGATCTCTTGATTTTCGACTGTTGGCAAAGGTGAATGTCTGCCTAAGTGATAATGAAATCATTAGCTTTGGTCTTAGTGATGTGTTGATGATAGATGTGTTGATGACAGATGTGTTGATGACAGATGTGTTGATGACAGATGTCTCCCTATCCCCACATTACCTCTGAGACTGCCAAGTCTATTTCAATTTTGGGGTATCGCGTGTGCGTGCGTGTCCCCGCTAGTTTGCACATGAATCAGCACACACACACACACACACACACACACACACAATCAAACATAGTGATTTTCTAAGCCCGTTTTAGATGTGGCACAAGGCCAAAAGTATGGAGCACCCAGTGAGGATCGAACTCACTACTCAATCGTAATTGATCTACAAGACAAGCTTTCTAACCATTACACGACGTCGAGGTGCCCATTTTTTCTAAGCGCTGGTTAGATGTGGCACAAGGCCGGAAGTATGGAGCACCCAGTGAGGATCGAACTCAGTTGTAATATGTTCTAGCGAGACAAGCTTGCTAACCATTACACCACACCGAGGTGCCCCATATATATATATATATATATATATATATATATATATATATATATATATATATATATATATATATATATATATATATATATATATATATATATATATATATATATATATATATATATATATATATATATATATATATATATATATATATATATATATTAGCAAACTGAGATAAGATAAGCTTAGATGTAAATAAGGTAGTATAAGATGGTGTATAATAGGAATGGTCTTTGTTCCGTCTCACTTTCCAAAATCTGCTGAAACATATTTTATTAATTCTTCTGGCAGTAACGCCACGTCAATATAGATAGATAGATAGATAGATAGATAGATAGATAGATAGATAGATAGATTATTTCCTTAGTTATATCAGCGGAAAATGTCTGATATTGATCGTAACACTTATGACTGTCATCATGGTGATACCAATCTTTATATTAGCGCGTGTATTTTTTTTTTTTTTGACGTTTCCGCCGTTGTATGCAAAATGATCGCCTGATTCGTAATTTATAATTCGTCATATTCTACCAAAAAAAAATATCATCGCTCGTAATGAACTGTTTGTATAAATTTAGCTTCAACAGCTTAATGCAAAACTGCTATTTTTAATACGTTTTTTGTCAATATTATTATTATCAATATTATTATTTTCATTTTCTCAGATAAGATCTTAATATCTGTTAATTAATGCATGGATACCGGACCACAACCAGTCGCCTCAGGTCGCATGCCATTTTCCACTAACTCCGAGGGTTCACCTCTATTTTTGCCGTAATAAAAAATGCTTCCTTTCTCCAACAGTTCCACTTGGCAATCGATGCCAATTTTTTTTTTATCCATGTCTCTTTTCTGTCACCGTAACAAGTGCAGCAATGACAAATGATGCGATTGTGACTTCTAAAGTCTTGCGAGGTCAAACTTCAATGGGTCATTATTGATTATTTTTCTTTTCCCGGTTGCTTTATTATAAGATCAGAAGGACACGATGCGTCAGTGATTAACTCTTCTTTTTATAATTTATCTCCGCCAATGCGTTTGACTCCAGTTGGTTTATTATTAGTACTAGTAGTATTAGTATTAGTAGTAGTTGCAGCATTTCCTTTAATTTCTATTGTATACACTTCCGTGTCTTAATCAGAGAGCTAAGGTTAAAAATGGTTTCATGGCATTTTCCATTGATCACTTTTGTCAAAAAACAAAAAGAAAAAAAACCCTAAGATCACATACATTTTACATAGATAAAGCTCTACGTAATGTGTTACCTGTACTTGTGAGTACATCTTTTTTTGTATTTCTTCAAGGCGTGGGCTACCAGGACCCCCTTTCAGCGAGTCTATTGGAAACTTTTCCAATCCATCTGGGGGCACCAACTACAACTGGAATTATTGATGTCCTCATCTGTCATATGTTTTTTAGATTTCCATTTTAAGATCTTTATATTTAAATAGTTTTTGTTTTTGAAGATCTTCAAATATACTTTATTTTGTGATGTCAACGAACACTCGTTGACACTTTTGTAATATCAACGAATACACGCCCTTACTTTCGTAATGCTCGTTGTAGTAAAGACTTTATAATCGCAGATACAACTAGGGTAACGCTGTTAAATAATACTGGTGTCAGACGCCTTTGAATAACACTCACACTAATAGTACTTGCTCGATAATACTAGCTCGAATAGTAATCACCAAATAGTGATCCGAATAGCAATGCGTATAGTGATCAGTATAGAAAATAGTATAGTGAATAGTATAGAGATAGAGGATAGGGTAGAAAGAGTGATCCTTATAGTAATAGAGGATAGAATAGAAATGGAGATCAAATTAGACGCCACGCTAATTTCCATATATACACGACACGTTATTCCTATAAAACACTTTACAATCTGCAGTGGCCGCCATGTTAATAAGAAAGCTCATTCTGTTCTTGTAGTCTTTGATCATGATGTCAGGATTATTATTATTATTATTATTATTATTATTATTTTCTTTGATTTCTGGCGTTTACACATTTCTTTCCGGGTCCCGCCCAGGGACCTAAGGTGAAAAATGGCGTCATGACACTTTCCACTGACAAAAAAAAAAAAAAAAAATTCAAATTACATAGATAAAGCCCTTCGTAAGGTGTGGGGCTGTACTTGTCAGAACAATTTTTTGTATCTCCTTGAGGCATGGACTTCCAGGAATCCCTTCAATTAGTCTACTGCAATCTTTTCCAACCAGTCCTAGGGCTCCAACTACAACAGGGGATTGTTGATGTTCCCATATGCCACATTTTCGAGATTTCTATTTCAAGGTCCTTGTATTTTGACAACTTTTGAATATCTTCAAAGATACATTGCAGTCAGCAGGGACTGCCATATCAATAAGGAGGCACCGTTTTTGTTTGTTGTCTTTAATAACAATATCTGGGCGGTTGGCCTTGATTGTTCTGTCAGTGTGTATTGTGTAATCCCATAGAATTGTAACAGGTCCTATCTCCGTAACCGGGTCTGGGTGGTGTTCATACCAGTTTCTTTCAATCTCATAGATTATATTTAGACTTCATCTTCTCCGCTCTTTTTATCATTTCTTCTTCTACGACATTTTCTTAGTAATATGAGAGAGATTTTCTTTTTTACATTCTGCCTTTGTTTTCTATTTTTATAGAGAGAATGAAAAAGTTAGAGGGAGAGAGAGAGAAAGAGAGAGAGAGAGAGAGAGAGAGAGTTCCCACTTTTTATTCTTCATTTATTTCTTTTAAAATGTTAAGAACTTAAAAAAAATCAACCAAAATCCCAGCAAGAGATATTTCGTTGCGGATGTGTGATGTGTGTTAGAGAGGACTAGAAGGTTTGAATTATCAGAAGGCTTAAAATTGTGTGGGTTCAATAATCTTCCATCCACAACAATTAATACAAGACACAGAATAATTATTCAAAAACATAACGTATTGATTCAAAACTTAACAATTGAATTTATTAAGTATTTGATGTACAAGCATAAGAGCTGAAGCTGTGACAGAATTATGTCTCTTAGATTTGGAAATATTTGTATTTGAGCTCATAAAGTTAAAGTAATTATTAAACTGCAGTTTAGAAGAATAAAGTCCCTTTAGTATATTTGGAATTGTGAGTTGTAAAGTTGGTAAAAGTTCAGAAGAGATTTCAGAGTTCGTACTTTCGTGAATGTTGGTAATGGTCTTTAACGTCTGACTACATTAGTCAAGACGGCAGTTCTTGAAAGTTACATCTTGGTAGCAAGGAATGACATGCGAGAGAGAGAGAGAGTTTACACGTGTTTTGTTTTTATAATTTTGTTGGACCACGTGGGAGGCTCAGATGGAGAATGCGGGAAAACAGATTTGTCGCGTGCAGGCGATTTAATTGGTAGGAACTGACCAATCAGCGAGCTAGTTTGAAGTAGATTAACCAATGAATGCTTGTCTATGCACTGTGTTTATGTAACGTGGTGGTAATTACCATATAGGAAGAGTGCATTTTCCAATTGGGTATGACAGGCTGACGTGGAAGATTCCACAATTTCATTGTGATTTCCACTTCAAGATCCTTGTAATTTTATAGTTTTTTGAAGAACTTTAGAGATATATTACAATCTTCAGTGACCGTCATGTCGATAAGAAAGCACATTGTGTTTTAGTGGTGTTATGGTCAGCGTGGATGGGACTTTATTTAGTCTTGCTAGGGTCTTACATCGTCTTGCTCAGATCTGGCAATGTTGGGTCACTTTTACGGTAGTTGTTGCATAAATGCCGCATAACGTGTAATGAATGACTTCTCTTTGTGTGCGTGGTCTGATTGATGATCTTTTAAGCCTGTACCACTTAGAAAGACGCGGCCATATTAATTACACGCTAGAGCAAATTGTATAGCACAGTTTTCGGGGAAATTAACTTACGGGCATCTCTCTAGATTTTACGCCTGCGCAATAAAATTCTATTCAAAGTACCTCCTACCATTTTTCCCTGCATTCCTTCAGGGTGAAGGATCTATATCGTGTTTTTTATGCGTAAATACACACACACATACATACACACAGACACACACACATTATATATATATATATATATATATATATATATATATATATATATATATATTCGAGAAAGAAAAGAATCATGCTCTCTCCAGCATTTTTTTAATAAGGTTTCTCGATTATTTAGTAAATAAAAATCCATTTCTTTTCAGAAATTATATATATATATATATATATATATATATAGAGAGAGAGAGAGAGAGAGAGAGAAACAAAGAGAGAGAGAGAGAGAGAGAGAGACAGAGAGAGAGAAAGAGAGACGCGAGAAAGGCCATCCTTCATTATTTAAACATTCACAAATCCACATACACGCATTTCATTTCTCTCGCTTTCGCTTTTCGAATCTGATGAAACCTTAAATTTCAAAATACATTACCGGATATATTTATAGACAAATCTACTTTCATGAACATTTCCAATTGTCAAAAATTTATAAACATTGTCGGGATTATATATCCTAACTTTAAAACACACACACATATAAATATAACCATATATATATATATATATATATATATATGGTTATATTTATATTCATGTGTCCTTGAGGACATCTGGGTATGAACTTCTGAGTATTATAAACCTAATGTTTTCAGCATCATTTTTACCAGTGCTCATATTGCAATTTTTTGCTGTTATCATTGCATGTCTTTACCAGAGTTCATACATGGCACAGTGGATAAAGGCGTTGGTTAGATCCAGTGACAGACCCAAAGAAGGTGAGTTCAATTCCTGGTTAAGGCAGTGGAGAACTTTCAGAGGGAAAATTAGCAGGAGATAACTGATAACTGACATCCATCAAACATGGCACGTGGAATTAGAACAGTCTACCCCAGCGATCGAAATAAAGGGTTCAGTTCGAAATTCCAACCACCTGAAGAAGGCCGGAGCGTACAACGGCCGAAACGTTGTGACAAATATGGCGACAAAGATGAGGACAATAGTCCGACTAATGTAAATACTGTACATAATACCTCATCTCAGAAATATAGACAAACTCAGAAAGAAAGAAAGAAAAAAGAAATAATGAAAGAAAGAAAGCAAGGAAGAAAGAAATTGTCATGCAGTTTTGAGATTTATTATCCGTGAGCTAATTATTATTATTATTATTATTATTATTATTATTATTATTATTATCACTGCTGGTGTTGTTGTTCTTGTTGTTCAACACCATGATCTTTTTCTATTTTGGCAAGGCTAGAAATGCCAAGTTTAATGCAAAATTCAACTCTGCATCGTAATTTTCCCTGACATTAACAGATTTTAAAATGGCTCCCTATTTGTCCCAAAAATAAAATTGAAAAAGCCGTAGAAATAATCAATCAATTAATTAAGATTTCACTATACCCCGATCTCTAACCCGCCCTTGGGAATTGGGCATCAATTACTTTCCAATGTAGTTATTCCTTTAAAGAATCGATTAATTTCGGAATAATCCTAATAGAAGTCCTTCTCTATCAAGAATGTATCTTGCTTCTTTAAAATCGTTACGTTAAGCAGGTAGTTATGTGTATTTAAGGAAAAATTCTTGATATTGAACTGATTCAGTTTTAACAACATCCTTTTGGCCAAGATGATGCCTTATTACTCAAACTGAATGCTGTTTGAGTTTTAAATATTATATTTCAAGTTCGCTTTGCCATTTGTATGCATTAATTGTTTAGCGATTTGTATGAAAACGTATTTCTTCATTGTCGTCAAAAGCCTACTTCATATTCTCTGTTTACTTTTAAATGATTCCTGCCCTGAGTATGACGATAAACTACATCCGGCAGCGAGGATTCTGATCGGGAGATTGGAGGTTTTGAGGAGTACTACCTCTTAATTGCAGTTGTTACTAGGTCCACTTTGACCCCCTAGAACATGTTAAAGTCCCCAACTATGGGAAAATAGTGAACCCTACAAAAAAGAAACGTATGAAAGTATTGCTGATGGCTTGAATGATCTTTTTCCTCTCACCATTGATCATTTGGGAAGACAGTGCGGATGACACAAAACGATTTTAATCTGTGTTCTTTCTAGCTGAATAACTCAAAGTGCTTTTCCGTGATTCTTACGAGAAATGGTGCCAAGATAGCTAAACATATTATCTGAAAACCTGGGAAAAAGAAACTCAGTTACTTTAGTATTTTCTTTAGATATTAAACATTTCGTGGGATGGACAATTATTTGGTCATACGATTTTGACAGTTTTGTTGATAGATAGATAGATAGATAGATAGATAGATAGATAGATAGATAGATAGATAAGGAGAGATTGTGATAGATAAGGGGAGACTGTGATAGATAGATAGATAGATAGATAGATAGATAGATAGATAGATAGATAAGGAGAGGTCGTGATAGATAGATAGATAGATAGATAGATAGATAGATAGATAGATAGATAGATAAGGAGAGACTGTGATAGATAGATAAGGAGAGTAGATAGATAGATAGATAGATAGATAGATAGATAGATAGATAGATAGATAAGGAGAGATTGTGATAGATAGATAGATAGATAGATAAGGAGAGACTGTGATAGATAGATAGATAGATAGATAGATAGATAGATAGATAAGGAGAGACTGTGATAGATAAGGAGAGTAGATAGATAGATAGATAGATAGATAGATAGATAGATAGATAGATAAATAGATAAGGAGAGATTGTGATAGATAGATAGATAGATAGATAGATAGATAGATAGATAGATAGATAGATACGAGGGTTGGCTGAAAAGTTCATAGGCTAACTATGAAGGATTTATGCTAGAGCTGAGAAATCTTGCATGTATTAATTTCCGCTGTTTTATTAATAACTGCATTTTTTTATTTCCAGTTAAATGGCATCTGACTGATCCATCATGACTTCAAAAGTAACTAATAGCTCCTTCTCTATAAACGATCTTGACATCATGGGGTTAATTAAGTACCTGCAAAATAGGGATTTATACCCAAGGACGTAAATACTAAAAGTGTTACTACATTAAGGGATCGACAGTAGAGAAGTGGACGGCTGAATTTTGGAGGGGAAGGAAGAGTCTTAAAGTTGATCCAAGTTCAGGAGATTCTGTAACTACTACCACCGAGGAAAACATTAACCGTGTTCAACACATTGTGATTTATGACAATCGATTGACTATAAATCAAATGGCCAATGCTATTAGCATATCCCGTGAGAGAGTTGAGATTATTCTGCAGAATAAATTTTCTGTGACGAAGGTTTCTTCTCGGTGGGTTCCACACCTTCTGACAACTGATAAAAAAAAAACATCACCGGAAAATCTGACATTGTTTGAGGCAAATTTAGCTGGTTTCCTTGACCGTTTCCTAATTCAAGATGGGTGTTGGATTCAGCACATTTTTAAGCCAGAGGCAAAGAGACAATGCGTGCAGCCGAAATAACCTTCCTCACCTTCTCCAACGTAGGCCAAGATGGTGATATTCTCAGTATTTTGGGATTCAAAAAACGTTTTGTTTATTGACTATCTTCAAAAGGTCACTCCATCAATGGAGAGTACTACGCCAACTTTCTGGAGCTGTTATGAAAGGTTATCAAGAATAAACGCCTTGGTAAATAGACAAATTAGTTCTTGTTCCATCACGACAATGATTCAGTCTAATGGCTGCTGTACGTAACTGTCGTTTTGAACTAGTTAACCACCCTTCATATTCTCCTGATTTGGTTAGTATCATATTTTCCCCAACATGAAAAAACACTTGGCTGGGAATGAGGATCACAGTGAGGAAAATGTCCTATTTTTCAAGAGAAGTAGCGACTTTTGACGCCATCTTGGAAAGCTCAGATGTCAGTTTACCTTGAAAGATACAATGCAGTTACTAAGGGGAAGAGTTGAAATTAATGCATGCAAGATTTCTAAACTATGAATGGATTTCTCTGTATCCTTGAAAACTGTAAATTATGATTTTTGCCGTGCCTTTAAAACCCAGTAAATTTAAAAATAGATTACGGCAAAATTCGCTTGAGGAAGAAATGGAACTAATGTCTTTAATTTAATTACAAAATTAAATTTTAGCTTCCATTTTTTAAACATGGTTAGAACTGTGTAGCAAAAAAAAATATTTTAAATCAGTTAATTTATAATATTAATGCTCTGTAAATTTGCATTGATCACTATTTTGTAAAAATAAAAATATCTATAAGAACACCGGATTATATATCTTACTGTTCTTTTTTTTCCTTATATATATATATATATATATATATATATATATATATATATATATATATATATATTCAGAAATGTTTCGTAATATAATATCAGAAATTTCACTTTTCCTTATCCTTACATGTTTTGATTTCCCTTTCTATGAGAGAACGTCAAAATTGTTTAGTCCTAGTGCCCTTGTTGGCAGCAGCGTTTAATAATTTAAATAACGTGAATTGGTATATATATATATATATATATATATATATATATATATATGCTTCGCATGGTGGATACAATAAGAATGTTTATTAAGATTATGTACTTCTTACTACATATTTTATGAAATGCAATTATTTTGGATTCTGTTTTCTTCCAATTATACTTCCCTCCGACTCCAACCACGTTGGTTCTGACGCAGTTATCAGCTGTCACTGCTCGCGCCAAATAATCGGGTTGGATTTTCTTGGAAGATTTGTATCTTTACGTTTTTGGCAGACTTGGCTGTGGTTTATTTGACTGTTGAGTTTCGTCTGGGAGTATCATTTTTCTTATAATGAATTTTGTGGCAGTGTACCCTGAGTATTGTCTGGAGTGCTGAGGTGTGAATAGCTTCTTTTGTATGGGAAAATTCTGACAGATTTATCGGATTAAATTTTCCTATGCCTGGGAAGGAAATGTCTTCGCGATAAAGAAAAAAATTACAATCTCTGCTGCTTTCAGGAATTACCTTTTTCGGTATTGTAAAAAAAAAATGGCATATTTGCCACAAAAACAGACGGTTCAAATTTCCAGTGATTCTAATACAAACGGCGATCAAAAAATCCAGATAGATGTTATGTCCTATTCAAAGATCGATAGCAGTTATCTCTCGAAGTTTTCCTTATTGAAAATAATTCTGAAAACAGTGTTGCATCTTATCTAAAAGAAACGCTCTTCTACAATCATGTCTTTTATTTACCACTGGTTTATAAACCAGTTTTTTAAATATCTTGTGATAATTTTTTTGTCATCTTATACTATTGTTTTATTCATTTCAACCCAAGGAAGGTGTTGAAACTTGACTAATGCATGGAATAATAATGCAACACAAAAGGTACTTAGAACAAAATGTATTGAAACAAGAAAGTGTACACAATATTTACATATAGTCTTTTGTATATTCCTGGTAAGACCGTTCCTGGAGAATGTGTTGACTGAGTCGCAGTCGGGCAGAGTCTCTGATTGAATCTCTTGATTCCTCTCACTCTCTTCCCGGTACACCACTATGCAAATTAGATGGATCCTACCATAACAGAAGGCGATAATGTCACTAAGATTCAAAGGGGTTACTGGAAGTAAAGGAGAATGAGAAGACTATTGAGAAAAAAGGACGACAAAATAACAGGTTTCAGAAAAACAGAAGATTGCGATTCATGTTGCATTTCGACGTCAGCACCCGCTCGCATCTGAACATCAGGATCGGCATCTTTTCTCCCTATTCCCTTTCTCCCTGCTCCGGTAGATGTGGCGAAGATGGTTAAAATTGGGTGGACAACTTTGAGCGATGGGTAAGTTCCCACAGTAGGCCAGAAGCGCCTCCCTCGGGGATCAAAAGGGGAATTGAGAGAGGTGAGTTCTGGCTAACCTGGTTGCATCCGACTGTAGGACGCATAGCCTGTCGCTGTCCTTGGTTATACAAGACCCGACAGGTGCTGCCTTCTTCCGACCGCCTGGCCGTTGACATGGGGTAGATCTTTGCCGTTCCGCCGTTAGGGTCTTCGGGTTTTTGATCGCGTCTCTCTCTACTCGATTTTACCGCCACCAGTTATTGCATTTAAATCTTTGAACAACGCAGATGACAGGGATGCATGAAACCGGAAGAGAGTTTCACATCAAAAAGTACGAGAAAAGGAACGATTAAAAAATTAATACAGCTCTATCACACTAATTCAACCGTAAAACAATGAGGCCTAATTGTAAATCTTGTAGTACGCTTACATTCAAGGGGCTGAAGAACCAAAAAAGAAAGCTAATTAGAACAATTGTTGGTTTGGTTGTTTGATTTTGTTTAGTCCTAGTACCCTTGTTGACAGCAGCGTTTATCAACCTCACGTGAGTTATTTAATGCCGAAATCTATCCATATATATTTATATATATATATATATATATATATATATATATATATATATATATATATATATATATATATATACTTTCAGAATAAAGTTACGTTTTTGATGTGGGCCCAAAGTTGGGACCACGGAAGGAAAAACACGGAACACGGATTTGAGGTAAGAAAGACATATTAAACAAAAAGGTTACAAAGATAGTGTAAGTGTAAGCGGAGCTTACTATGTGCTAGTGTCCAATATTGGTTGTCGTACGCGGCTGATACTACGGTATTAGAACTCTGTCTGTCTGTCTGTCTGTCTGTCTGTCTGTCTCTCTCTCTCTCTCTCTCTCTCTCTATGTATGTATGTTACGTATGTTACGGTCTCACAACAGTTTTTTGGGGGTATTTTTTTGTTTTTTTTTAGTTATATATTTTGTAGATCACAAAATATATTGTTAGTAATTCTACTTTAAAAATGTACTCTATATTTTTAAGTGTTACATTTATTGTCATTTAGCTATAAAAAAATCTATTGTTGCTCATTTTACTTTATAGTGGGGTCACTATTTGCCCATAGCTGGGAACCTAAGAGGTGCTACCCCACCCCCAACCCGGGTCAGGGTGAACCTAGAAACAACAGCAATTAAGAGGTGGTCCCACGCTCCTCAAAACCTCCTGATCAGAGGCCGTGCTGCCGAATGTAGTTCATCGTCAAACCCAGGACGAGAGAACAATTTTTGAGATGCCAGACCAGAAGTCAGAACTGGTTATATCACAGACACTTATTTGGATTTTATCGAAAATATCGAGCGATATAGGAGGAGCAAGAGACCAAATATGGCCGTAATATTCTGTAATGTGTAAGATTGCTTCTAACAAGAACAATAGTCTGGCACGACATAATGATAAACGAACTTCCTTTGCCGCAATTCGCAATTAATTCAAATAACGATACGTAACAATTCGATAACGATAATAAAGGCAACGAAAGCAATGTTGTTAATGGACCAGCTGATGAGATACATTCTGAGAAATGTTTTTTGTGTTGGACATTCTAACTCTGGCACTAAACCAAGCACTGATTGAAAACAATTTCGTCCTGATTGAGAAGATATAAACAAAATTGGTTCAACAGCAGGTGATGAAGCGTTTGGCGCGCTAAGACCTCACACAAAATTATCCCAGTCCCAAGTATTTAATTAATAATTACATATGGACCGTGTGCAATGTTAATAAGCTGTTATTGAAAAAAATATATATATCTTGGCTTATTAGCAATGGCTGACATATTATTTCGAGCAGCTGTCGATATACCTCGTGAGAAATTTCATTGTCCAAGAAACGATGACCGGACACCGCGAAAGAAACGTTTGTCCTTGATTCTGTTACTTCGCCAGGGAACTGGTTAGCGTTTCGATACAATGCATAACTGATTGTGAAAGACGTGGTTCTTTTCTTAGGGCGTGCG